AAGCGCATAACGGATGAAACTCTGCCGAAGGGAGATGAGCCGCCGCGCGACTCTTTTCTTGCATAAAATATGAGACAGCTTTATTTTATGACAACGGTTATGGGGAATGTAATACGCGAGGTATCGCGCATCCTTCGCGATATTATTATTCGCGCTTGGTGCAATATTATAAAGGAGTTTCCCTTGCACTTGCATAATAGTTATCTTCTTTCGAATAAGAACATCAGATATACACACTTCTTCGTTCAATCCTAGAAGGATCAATAAAGCCTGAACTTAGAGTACTACCTTCGGCACTGCTTTGATATAAAATTCTCGTTTACGTAATTTTACTAACTTCATAATTCCTTCTTGTGTAAAGAAAAATAATACACAATCGATTATTACATAACAGTTATTTCTTTTTAATTTGTCATTATTGTGCTTTAATTTGATCCTGCTAGTTTTAGAGAACAGAACGTTTTATATTTCTTAGAGTAACAACGAATTACTTTCTAAAAATTTTATATATTCTTGTGAGAGAGTCATTATGCTTGAGCAGACATTGAAGGAAAGAAACGATTAATTAGCTTTTAACATTAAATATCCCCGAGGCAGGACATACGTCATAATGACGAATCAGTTCAGTGCCGAGCTTGGCTGGTCTTATTAATAAATTCGCTTCCCAAGCGACGTACTATGAATCATTCGATAGGCAACTGGGGAGATTCTATTAGACTGATTGGTTTGCATCTCTCTACGGTTGAATCTATGCCGATATGTCTTTGTACCAACCATGCGCAAAATGCAATTGCCTCTTTTGATATATTCGAGGTACTTGGGAAGATTGTGCATGAAGAATCGATGGGGTGATCAAATCAAGTTTCGCGCACGATCTAAATATTTCTGAATTACTTGCGCATCATAACATTCACGATTATAATATAGTCTCTTTTCAAAAATTTCTAAATCTATTAAAAACAAAATATATTACAAGTATACGTATACAAAATGCCTGGTCAAAATCTTAGTTTCAAAGACAAGAGTTAATATAATTTTAATCTATTTATCTCGTTTAATCTTATCTACTTCGGAAATTTAAGAAATTTTCACTGAGTCCATTTAACAGTCTATTTTTCTCAATTCTTGAGACATTGTAACGCAATTGCATAAGGCTTGAATGGTCGAAGGAATGAATGAGAATCTTGTAATGGAAAACAATCGATTAGCTTGCTCTGAATTCGTGATATTCTCCTTGGGCGAATCGTATCGGCACATGACTCAGCCAAGCACTCTGATCGCAACGACAGAAACGCGCATGCAACATTTCTCCGATTGACCTAGTTCGAAAGTCGATCGTGTTAATTCAGGAAAGATTCGTCGGCACGATAGCGAAGAGCGTCGTGAAAGGACCTCACAGGCCTGTACAATTTAAATCACGCGCGAGGTATCGCGATTGTTAATAATTAAGATATTTCACGCAGGTTTATTAGCTATAATTTGCAGCTCTCATCGGTAATCAGTTTTTAACATGCATTAGGCTTGTTTAACGCTTGTTAGATGCTTTTTTTTCCTTATCACATCAGTTTTACGTTCCTGGGTCCCTTTTAATCTCCTCTTCCCTTAGGTTTCATTAAACTGACTCTCCAAATATGGCTAATCTGCGGACCCGGATTTTTGTACCCTCGAAGGAGTTAACAGCGTAGCGGCGGGACCGCAACAACTTAGCTTACGTTAAAAACGTACTATGGCCCCGGATAGGATTAGCGCGCCCTAATTTATTGACTCCCTGCCTCACTGGCGCGGGGAGGAGGGCTCGAACCCCCCGTGGCTCCGAGTTAACGGCGTTTTACAAGAGGGGTGACCCGTCACAGGGGAGCTGCCACGAGCCGAAAGATGCATATTGCATGCTTGTAATCAAGTCTGACAAAATATCGTGCGCGCAGTGTGATCGTTCTAGTGTGAATTATATGAAATATTATACATCATATATATATGTATATGTATAAGGGTCGGAAATGAAAATCATTGGGCGGAATGCACAGATCGAGAGATGCCGCAGCTATATTTAGAACCATTTTCCCTCTACGTTTTTTTTCTAAGAGGAGGTGGATATTTCGTAATCCAGAACGAACATCGTTATATTCCAGTCGCGCCAGTTTATTGAAAATGATTGATTTATGACGTATCGAAAAACTCGGGAAAGCTCGACGTCTAGAAGCCTGATCCTTTAAGCCCGTAATACTTGAAATATTCAATGTTATAAAGGGGATATACGAATGATCACTCTGCAATTATTTCGATTGACAAGAGAATGACGCGGATAAATGTTGAATATTGAATAGAAATAATCGAGTATTTATCGACTGTGTTTCAAACTTTACTCCCTGTATAGTTTACAGGCGTGCTGATGCTAAAGATATAGCGATTGAAATAAAATTCGCGATTATTTCAATCAGTTTATAATTAATCCTTATTTCTTTCCGATATATTGATAAAAATGGTTTTTCTTTTACTCTTAAAATAACAAAAGTTATTTCATTGTGAGATAACATAAACGATGCCTGATTAAGATAAGAATAAAGCGGATAAGAATAAAGAAATGTCGTGACCATTATCGTTTTGATTGGACAATTCCCATTTATACTGTGTATTAAACTACGTGGCATGACGTGACTTACGTACAAGGGCCGTAGAAGTTTGCATTCCGTCCAATTCTCCTCAACGAGGCAATAACGGGCGTCTCGAAAATCTCCCGTCCTCTTGCCGCAGATCCCCCTAATTAAGAACACTAGCCACTAGCCGCATTAGAGAAGGGAATCCAGCGACGATACTCGTGTCCAAGCGTCTTTCTCGCGTTCCTAGAATTAGATTTCAGGTTTTATTGGCGCCCGTATACAGCAACAGAAGAAAAGAATATTGAAATACATAAAATTACCCTAAAAACTGAAATATAATAGAACATTATATCGATCTCAGTTATAAATATAAAGTATTATAATATAAATATTATAAATAACGTCCGAAACGCACAAATCCCAACAACAAAAAATAAAAGAAAACGACCGTTTAAGATTTAAGATAAAATTGCTTTTGAACTCAGCATGTAAGATATTTTTTTTTATCTCTGGGATACGAAAAGTGCACTTTACAATTGTTTTGTAAATATCTTGTTTTATAGAAATGACAGAGAATATTTGTATAATTATTACGATAATAATAACGAACATTCTCAATGTTGGACAGCGAACACATTTGCTGAAATTTTATTGCCTTTTTCTACAATTAGGGATATGTGGACGTCCGTGATTGCGAGCGTACTTTGTTGCGTGCACGCGTACACATGCAACCATAAAAAAAACTTTTTAAATTATCTTCACAGGGTTAAGTGTTGCTTCGAAAAACATAAAAAAATACATACAAAATTGCATTACTTTTCATAGTTCTCCACATTCTAGATTCCCAAGTTTCAACTAAGTTACTATAAAGCAATAAATAAATTTCATGTGAAATATTAAGTTGAGATTGTAACAATATTTTGTAAAAATATAATTCTCTCATTCGTTCACTCGTTAAACTGAAAATGTTAAAGCGCAATTTTAAACGAAATGTAACGTTGGTATAGTGTTGCCATCCAGCAGTGGAGCAATGCAACTAAAATGCGGCAAAGTCGAGTCACCGATCGATATAAAGATACGATTAAAAACGAAGAGATGGACAATCACCGTAACGTCACTATTAATGAGCATTATTAATTAGGTTACAGTTACATTAATTTAAAATATATGAAAAATTTACGAAAAATTCATTGAATATAACTTTTTCAACCGATTTGCGTAAACAGTTAATTTATATTATTTTCATATATAAAATTGAAAGACTAATAATTCTAGAACAGGGGTTCCCAAACTTTTTTGTCAAGAGGGCCATGTATTAAAATTTGTGTAATAACAGATTTATTTTTAAAAGTCATATATAAAGCAAAATATCTTTATTTTAAAATTCTTTTATATTATAACGTCGAAATTTCTTAGCGAGCCGGATAAAACTTCATGGCGGCCGAATCGGCCTGCTGAGTGCACGCCATTATTTTATGAGATCTCTTACTTTAGATGGACGCTGTATTTTAGAAACTTTTGAGAGCAGAGAAAGTATAAGTACAAGGGGGTGCAATTAAGACGAACTGAAAATCATTCGACATCGAAGTGAAATTCGAATGAATATTTCAATCAATATTACAAATTATCAAACAATGAATGTAATTAACGCAGTTAACGTTGGAACGACGACGTACCTGGCGATGGTCTCGCATCATTGAATTTTCGCTGTATTTTGACGAGGAAATAATCTCGACGCAGTATGTGGCGACTTTCCCAGACAACACGCACATATAAAAGACGTGTTTGCAATTTCATAAAAGCTGTCTCAATGTTCTCTGGGTTCGATCGATTCTCCGGGCCGGCATTGCGAAATCACGGTCGGCGTGTGATACCTAAACGCGATATCAAATTAATGGCGTTACAACGAATTGATGCTTCGTGAGAGAAATTCGCGATACCCTTTTGCGCGCAAGATTTACCTTCAAGTCTTCTTCTTCTTCTTCTTCTTCTTGGGCGGCACTCGATTCCCAAGCTCGATACTTGTAAATCGGCGATCGCTTGTGATTCTTGTGAATAACGTACAATTGCGAAAAAATACCAAAAAGTACTGAGCGATTCGAATTGGGATTCTTCGCGATCCGCCGCGCCGGCGTTCCGCAACTCATCTACTCATCGCAATACGCGACATCTGTCGCCTGTCGCGATCAAAGTCGAACCGTTTAGAATTTATGTATCGATCGCCGGTCGGTATGTCGGTAACCCGTCTAATCTTCCGTCGTGGAACGCGCGGAACGTTTTTGCCACGTGACGACACATATATATATGTACGGACGTATATACATATTACGTATACTTGTGCGTGACGCGTGACGCTACACGCTGCCAAGTCAGCTGATTACGACTGCTTCTCTCAGGTCTGAGGTCAGATGCAGGTGGAAGAAGAAAGTATGGTCAGAGACGAGTATCCGATTCCGGACGAGGTAAAAAAGGAAGGGAACGTGGAAGAAACGGCGCCGACCGAGGAAACTAACCACGACGACGACGACGTCGACGAGGAGATGAACTATGCCGTGGACGAGGAACACTCCGATGACATTTCCGAGTATCTCGAGGATGATGTCTATCCCGAGGCGGATGTATATGTTGGTAAATAAACGTATATTCTTCACTATATTCTAGATCTTTTCGAGCGAGTCTTGACAGTTCAAACACTGGCACGCGCTGTACGACTCTATGAAGTATTTTGTCGCACATTGTTGATGTGTACCCAAGTGCATAAATATATGCACAAATATAAATAATTTTTAGGACATGTACTTGAATTGTTTGTGTCTTGTTTTCATTAGTTAGATATCAATAATTGATACCACTGTGGGATGCTTTTTGAAGCCAAACGGAAGAGAAGAGACATGTATTCTAGTAATACCTCGTTTAACGTTAGGTATGCCTTCTGCGAGGTCATTACTTTAAGTGAATCAACGTTAAACGAGGTACATTTTAAATTTTAACATTGGAAAAGAACTAGGACTGGTAAATATGAATACTGTCCTAGGACTGGATCCCAAACGCGCGAATTTAGAATTTAAAATCTATGAATTCCCACATACATATTACTCAAGACAAATTCAATTGTGTTGTAACAGCGTAACGTAAAGTGGGATGACTGCAAGTATGTTGTGTGCAGGTATGAAGGCGTTGGAGGACGAGTTGGATCATCTGCAGACCGCTCTGGATCATTTGGAAAGGAAGAACGACGATATACACGCACAGCTGACCGAATTGCTGCAATCTAATCGTGAAGCTAGGAAACAGTTTCAGGAATCGCTGCAAGTTGAAGGGCAACAATCAAAGTGATGATTACTTTGTACTTAGAAAACCGTATAATTTGTTGTTGTCCAAGTATTATTTCCGCCGATCTTGTGAACAAGTTGTTTCATCCGTAAGAATGAAGGACATTTATATTTCGGATCGATTCGGAACTTATATTTTGTCAATGATTGATAGCATTCCTGGTAATAAGAAAAATAAAATAGAGTTAATTTATCATATAATTATGTATATACATATGTATGTATACCTGTTTGCAAATATTAATGCATTTTTATTTATACTACATATATCGATGTTAATTAAACTGTAATTTTCAAACGTTCTTGTGTTACACATGAAATACATTATTTTTTTACTAAATTCTAATAAATATTTTATTCGAAGAGAATAGCGATACACAATATTTTTCTAATGTTTCTATATATGTATTGCAATATGTATAGATGTTGAGTTAGTAGGAATAAAGTAAAAAATATATCTTTAAAAATAAATATGAAATGCATTGAGAGAAAAATATGTTTCTAACCACGAGTAAAATGATTAGAAGATATAACGAAGACCTATAATGCGATCGTCTTCGTATATAACTTAAGAATTATTCTGCGATAGTTTACATAATACGCTAAACGGGAAAGAAATATCCAAACAAACGATAAATGCATATGAACAGTTTTGTAAACTTTATTTTGCATATAAACAAACAGATTTAATATAACTGTCGATGGTAGTAAAAGTATTTTTAATCTGCTAATTTCAGCTATAGTTATCCTGTACTTAATAGTAAAGAACTGCTATTAATGTGTTAGGTGTACAAATCAGTAAACTAATATAAACAACGTGTTTCATAGATCTACATGCAGGAATTCTGTGTTACATTAAATATTTAAGTAGTTTTGATGTGTGTAGTTATATCTCGATAGTCTAGCTGTCTGGCCCCTAGTTATTTTTAAACAGTACCATTGTTCTTTATTACAATATGTACACATTAAGTGCAATCGATAGTGATTTATCATCATCAAGCGCAACACCAAGTAGTTTTCAAAGTTTTCAATTTCTTCACTTACATTTTTCATTAATTTTTGAACATACAATCTGTGATTGAACAGTGCTGTATCACAACTATATAACATATACATTCAGTCAAATAGAAATATTCGGCACGGCAAACGACCTCTGAACAGTCTGAACAATTATTTTAATATATTAAATAAATGAATTGACACATATTGAGGATTCATCATATTAGATTTGTTTGAAATGAATTTATATCCTTTCAAAACGTTATCTTAAATGTCAGACTAAGGTTTAAGCCTTTATTGAGAAAATTGTTCTCTTGATTGTACAATTATGTGGAATTATATAACAGATTTTATGATTTCAAAATAATATGGCTGAATTTTACTTTTATAAATAGAAAATTTAAAAAAGCGACTCATCTCTAAATCAAAATGAAACATAATGAAGGTATTGTAACATATAGTTAAATTTTTAATGTATACTTATATAGTTTTAATCGTCTGTTGCAAATGCACTGAATAAATGTAAATGATAGTAAAACAGTAATTGCATACATATAATCAATATATATATATCAAACAACATACATATAAAACAACCAGTTTATCATACAGCGTTTGAGGGGCCAAGTAACTTAGTATATTCTTATTGGACATTTAACACACTGTTGTACAGAAAAACATTTAAAACATTATTAACTTATTAGTAAAAAGGTTCAAGAATAAGATTTCAGTGTTTAAATCAATTACACGCTAGTCCCTTATTCCGAGATATCCAAATGACTGTTTTTATACGACCAGAATGTTTTCTTTTACAAATAATTTTCTTACATTAGCTGCCAGCAGTATGTTATATTATTGTTTTATATTACATTATGTATATCATGTTATATGCTATATACATAATTCTATATGTAATATATATAACAATAATATAATCGCATTATATTATATAATATAATTTATTCTTCACATATGTGAGACATTTATACGAAGGTCGGTACGATATATACAATGTCTCCTAATTTTTTTCTCAGAAAATTGTATTTCTAGAACTATGATTTTTACATGAAATAATGTTCTTTTCCTATGCATTATTGCCATCTGTAAGCCAGACACTGTATATCAGTGCGGTAAAAGTCTTTGCTTTTTTACTCTTGAAGGTTTTCTTCGTCATCTGGAAAATGGAGTTCATGAAGTGTATCCTTAAATAGGTCGAAAAGATGCTAATCAAAGTTGAAGAAAAGTATTGATCAAATCCTCAAGATTCAAAGCAAGGACTTTTACCGCACTGAGGTTTTATTCTCGCCGAAAAATATTGCACGCGATATGTTATAAATACCATATTTTACAACCAATAGCACACTTGCCAAGTGTTATTTTTTTAGTGACATCATCACATATCGTATGCGACACTTTTTGAAAACAAGGCCCTTGGTGTGCAACGTCTGACTCACAGATGGCAAGTGCATAAAAAAATGGACATTTAAAAAATAAGAAGAAAAATGAACATTGTGGACAGATGTGTACACAATAAAGATTATACATTACTTTATGTATAGTTTCAGAAATAAAATTATCTGAGAAAAAAGTTAGGAGGCATTACTTTCGTACCGATCCTTATATATTTATGAGACATACATCAGAGTATTCTAAATTGTAAACAAAATAAGAAAATTTAAAGTTTTCATAAATTTATGGTGAAAGGTGAAAAGATATTTCAAAGGCATTTTTGCATCCAAAATACACATTAAGATTTTAACCATAAAATATGTAAAAAAAAATCACATTTTTAAATATTCTCGAAAATTTTAAAATATAGTTATTTCTATTATACAGAAAACACTGAAACCTTAACTTGCACTATCACTGTTTGTTTTTATAAACAAAAACAACTTTCTTTCACATACACACACGTTGATGAATCTAACGCAAACTTGTATTCTTTTTTATATAGGATACAGAAAGACACTACATTGGTCTATCTCCATTTGTGTTTTTACAAAGTTTATATCTTTTTCAGAAAGAAAATCTTTTACGATTATCAAATATGTGTGAAAATTCTTGTGGTTTATTTTGAGGGCCAACTTTATTAATCCTACTGTCCATTCATGTAGCGTCATCTTTACAATAATTTTAATAATAAACAAGGAGTATACTATAAAATAAAGAGAAGTTCGAAAAAGATTTTTTGCTAAATAAAATATGGAAGTTGACAAGATACATGTTAGGCATTGTTTACTTTTTGAATTTGATCTAAGACATACTGCAGCTGTAACACATCGTAGAATATGTAATGTGTATATGGCAATAATGTAATAAGTAAAGAAGTTGACAGTTCTGATTCCAACACTTTCGTGTTGGAAATCGATAGTTTAAAGATTAGTCATGTAAAAGACAAAATAATGACAAAAAATTTTTTTCGATGACAACACCTCGTATACTATATTGTATATTGTATTGTATTAATTATTTATGTATGAATTTATCCATGAATCACTGTTCAATGTGTTTTACTACATGTTTCAGTTGATACTGTATGATTGCGATAGCATAGAACTTGCGAATATGAAGAGTTTATTTCAACTGTATCGAGCAGGTCGGAGTAAAGTTGAAGATAGCAGCAAATACATTGCATTAAGTTGGCCCTCAAATAAACCGCAAGAACTTTTGCACATACCTAGTACATACAAAGTAAGAACAGAAGATTTCAAAATCTCACGTTTGTTAATTTGAAAAATTTTGGGTAACTAAGTATCTCATTATGTAATTCTTAGCAATATCAAGGTTGCTCCTTTTTTATTTTTGTCTGTATATTGTGTATTTTATTTCGCAACCTAAGTAACTTCCGTTGTGTTGTCGCATAGAAATAATATTCTTACTTTGAGTCTGATAGTAAATGCCGAAGAGATTGTAACAGTGCATTTTATATCTCATTCTTCATATTATCATTTTGTTTTCTAAGTAATCAAGAATCCAGAATCGTTTCCATCAAAAAACTAAAAGAAAGATACATTTATATATAAGTTATACCATGAATAAAAAAATATATAAGAAAAAAACAGAATATTATACTTAAAAGGAAATTATATATTACTTTGACTTAATTTTCAAAAACAAAATAAGAAGCTTCCTTCGCCAGTAAATAAATACAAAACAAAAGTCGTTTTTGTTCGACCCGACTGGCCAAATAATAAATATATTTAAAATTCACAACGTTTCAACCGCATTTTCGGTCCTTCTCAAGTGATTCATCAAGCTATGCATCCTCAAAAACCGCGCACAAAATATCGATTACGTCGCTGACATCGTGCCCTAACCACATCATGCACACGTAAAGATATTCTGTGCGTCAAAACGGAAAGTGAGAACGGTAGCGCAGAACGAAGAAACGTCGCAAGCCATAGCTGCGAACACATCAGTACAGCGTGACAGACGAAGTCATACTGAAGTGACTTCGTCTG